ATAATTAGGTCAGTCAAAAATATAAAACAAATTTCATAAAATAAACCAAATTTAAATTATTTATTTTTCTTTCATGAAAAATAAACAGCCATCACAAATTTAACTGGTTCCATCATTTAGAATAATATAAATTATTTTTTCATTATTTAATTTTCATCAATTAAAAAACCACAAAAATATTCTCAATTAAAAAAAATAAAAATAAACAACTAATAATATAAATGAGTAGAGCATCTGCTGATTATATTGATGTAAGAGATCCAGACGCAAGGGCCAATTATATCAACAACGCCCCAAACCCACTTCAAGGTGCACCACTAGAAACTCAGCCTTCAGAACCTTTCATACCACCTTCTGAATTAAAAAGACCAAGAGGACGACCAAAAAAAATTTGGACCACAAAGTGAAACAACAGATAAACATAGATACAACAAAATAGGTATTAATTTGAAACAAAGATTGGTGAAAGAATTTAGAGAACATCAAAATAAAGATCCAGAGGATTTTTCCCTTGAAATCGGAATTCCACTTAAATACTGTGAATCTTTACTTGTTAAACTAAGAAAGGGTGAAAATATTTATCCCAAAAATCACTAGAACCGTAAAAGCAGGATAACTCCATTTATACCTCTTGTGTACAAGTATCTTAAAGAATTGGTAACTTCTTCGATGGAAAAAACACGTCGAAAAATGATAGAAGTTGTTATTGTTGAAGGAATAAAAAACATAGATGAAGTTGAATACATTGACCCGGCAACTCTTGATACCTCAAAAGATAGATTCGAAGCAATGGAAGAAGATGAAGAAAACAAAGAAATATTGAAAACTTTACTTAAAGAAGCTGATAAGGAAGTGCCATCAGAGTCAACGTTCTTGAGAATGGTCAAGGGCCAAATAAAAGGAAACAAATATCAAGACATTCCCGTGTTATCTTTCAAACGAGTAATAAACAGAGGTCCAAATTCTAACACAGATGAAAACAAAGATAAACGAATCGAAGCTGTGAATAATCTGAATGGTAAACTTAATGCTGGGTACACATGGGTGCGTGTTGATGAAACAGCATGGACTATTGCTTGCACATTTGTTAATGGATGGAGCGAAGTGGGCAAAATGTTTCTCGACTAAATTAAAAAATGGTATGAGACTTTCATGCACTGCTGCTATAGACAGCGGTGGAATGTCTTATTGTGATTTGGTGTGTGGATGTAACGATAAACAAGTTTATAACGCCTACTTCAAACGATTAATACAAAAGTATGATGATGCTGGGATTAGAGCCGTCTTTTGGTGTGATAATTGCAAAATTCATGATGACGTGGAAGAAATTGTCGAAGGCACCAATCATTGTGTGGTCTATAATGCTGCATATTCTCCAAAAATGAATCCGATCTAAAATGTTTTTGGATTTTGGAAACGTCGCGTTGAAACAAAAATAAGAACATGGGAAAATCTTGGACACTTGGTAACACAAATAAAAGAAAGTTTTGAAGAGCTGCAGGTCCATGAAGTAAATGCAACAATGCAACGATGTCGAAATGAAGTTTGGAGAAAAGTTTATGCAAGAAAGGATCTTTAATTCAATACTATTTCTTTTTATGATTTTAATATTAAAATATATTTATATAATTTGAGAATATTTTTGTGGTTTTTTAATTGATGAAAATTAAATAATGAAAAAATAATTTATATTATTCTAAATGATGGAACCAGTTAAATTTGTGATGGCTGTTTATTTTTCATGAAAGAAAAATAAATAATTTAAATTTGGTTTATTTTATGAAATTTGTTTTATATTTTTGACTGACCTAATTATTTTAAATGATGAGTGAATTATTTTTCGTCAAGTCCAAATTAAACACGTGACAAAACCATTTATTTTTTTGACGAATTTTTTATTTTTTTGAGGAATGTATTATTTTAAATGGTGGCTATTGAAAACCGAGTGAAGGAAACTGTAAATCAATTAAACAAACAATTACAATTTTCATAAATTATTTAATTTAAATTCTATATATTAATAGAATAACTATAATAATCTTATTAAACAGTTAATATCGATCTAATACAAATAATATAAATACAACATAATTAATAATATATACATGAATAATTGATAGTAAATAAGTTATACTAACCCTACATAACAAACTTTGAAGTTAACAATGGAAAGCAAAGAAACAGGACCGTCCGATGTGTTTTCAAAAGACGAGAATGGCATTCGTAAATTAGATTTAGAATATGGAGATTTTCCTGATGACGGGTATGATTATTCGAAACACTTTGCTGAACGTGGGTGGGGAGTTTTTGTTCAACAAGATGGTAAAATTTTACAGCCAGAAAATCGAGGAGAGGACACTATTAATAAAGCAGAAGATATTCCAGATGACATTGATCCCGAAATTTTAGCCATGTTGAATGAAGCGGAAGAAGAGGGTTCCGACAATCAATTCGACGAAAACTTTTTAGAAAAAAACCTTTCTGAATTCGTTCAACCCGAAAAGAAAGTTTCTGAAGAAAAAAAAGAAGTTTCACATAAAGACTTAAGAGAGCTTCGAGCAATTGACAAAGAATTTGAGCAAACCCTAAATGAGTGGGATGACGATGGTGATGAGGAATATGAGAAATTTGATGAATCAAAAGTGACAGCAAAGAATCACAAAGGGAAATTAGAGTTCGAAGATGACGAGGAGTTCAGTAACGACTCAGATGAAAACGCAGAAAACGCCGTTAAGTTTCCGCATGGGAATCCCATTGATGACATTGACTTCGATGAAGATTATCTTGAGATTGACGACAACGACGTGAAGGCAGTTATTAAAAACTTCGAAATGACGGAACAAAAGAAAAATAAGAAAAACAAGAAATTAGCACCACAACGCCAACAACTCACACGTGAAGAGAAATTTCAACGGAGTAACGAGAAGGACATCATCACACCAGATGACTTAATAATCGACCCAAAAATCATTCTACAACAAGCGGAACGAATGGAAAGAGAAGAAGACAAAACAGAGAAAGTCGTCATCACAACAGTCATCACCGATGATATACTCCAACACCACGAAAAAGAAAAAATCAAAAAAGCAGAAAACAAAAACAAAAAAATTAACAAACCAAAAATCATCAAAACCCCAGTCAAAAAAACAGTCACAAAGAAAAAAACAGCAAAAAAAGAAATTTGAAAGGACTGAACTCGACATTCGATTATCAAAATTTTGGTTTATTTTAGTATTTTTTGTTAGTATATTTTACTTTTATTTTGGTTTATTAATAAATACAAATTTTGTTTTTTTAGTACGTATGTTATTAATTAATAACATTTTTACTATTAAATAAACCCAGCGAAGATACATTTTATTTTCTGTTTGTTTTTTAAAACTCCATTAATAGTTTAATATAGTTATTTTAACTATTATTTCTAATAAAAAAAATAAAATTTTGAAACCAGATTAGTTTTGTTGCTCAAAAAATCAACAAAAATAATGAGAACATTTCTATATCAGAGCACAAAACAAGTTTAAAAGTAATTTATTTCATATCAAATAATTTAAGCTCTGATAAAAAACTCGAAAACTTTTACCAAACGAACGAAAGAAAAAAATCCCAATTTTGGCGGGTTTAATCCCAGATAAACAATCTCATCAAACAATGATAAAACTCAAGTAAAAAGAATTAACAATAAACCATATCGAACTCACTCATTCACTCATTTTTTGCTTGCCAAAAAAAAGAAATATATAATACAAACTCGAAACCCACAGTCAGCGATGAGTGGTGTGAAGAACCTCGTCACCAAGACGTTTTCGACGTCATTCAAGCAACAAGAAATGCGTAGTTGTGTTCCATTATATCGTCCTATAACCGTGATCTTATTTTTCCTGATCACCGGGCTCATATTTATACCGATCGGTATCGCCGTCTTTGTAGTCACCAACCAATGTCAAGAGTACTCCGTCATGTATGTCGGGGAAAATTCCCCGGTGAACTGTAAGCCCAATGTCCCCTGTGAATTCACATTCACCGTGACCAAACCGATGAAAACACCTGTATACGTGTATTATGAATTAACGAACTTCTATCAGAACCATCGGGAGTACTTACGCTCACGCTCGAATAAACAATTGAAGGGCGCGGCTATCACGAAATACAACGACCTCTCGGACTGCGCGCCACGAGTCTCGCTGAACGATTCGACGAAGCCGGAAGACTTCTATGAGCCGTGCGGACTTGTTGCTGCGTCATTCTTTAATGACACGTTTAAGATCGATATTGGGACCGCGGGGAATGCAACGGAACTTGTATTGGAAAAGGATAAAATCAACTGGAAGAGCGATAAGAACTTGTTTAAAAACCCAAAGGAAAAGAACGGAATCTCTGTAGTAGACGATTATACCGACCCAGACTTCATTAATTGGATGAGACCAGCGGTTAGCTCGACTTTCAGAAAACTCACAGGTATTATTAATAACGTCGATGAAGTCAAGGGAAACATCACAGTTACTGTAGTCAATAATTTCCCCGTCACTTCATTCGGTGGAACTAAAACTATCATCCTAGCAACTACTTCCGTCTTCGGTTCAAAAAACCCAGCACTCGGAATTATTTATATGGCCGTTGGTGGGGTATTCGTCATCATCGCAATACTCCTGTTCATACTCACTAAGACGTCCCCACGAAAATTCGCTGATAAAAGATTCTTGAGGTGGTAAATCATGGTGTTACACTTTGTTAGTACTATTCTTATTATATGTATATAGTTAATTGGTATAGAATGTTATTTAATATCATGTATTAGTATGTATAATAATTTTTTAATCCAACTATTATTAGTAGTATTTTTATAGTAAAATATAATAAAATGTTATTTACTAGTATTTTTAATAAATTTTTAATAAATTTATAATATAATATTATTTACTATTATTTATAGTAAATTGCAATTATTATTATATATTATAATATTATAATATTATGAAAGAGTATTAGTAATAGTATAAATATTAATTGAATTAAATTACTTTTGTAATAATATAATTATTATAATATTATTATATACAATCAACAAACGACTAAACAAAGATATCGGCATGAGTTGCGATAGAATTGAAGTGATAAAAACCCGATAAAAGGAACTGGTATTAAGGAGATGAGTAACTTCCAAAAGCGACAACAAAACATCCAAAGACTAAGCGAACAAGATTTAGAGTTTTCGAGTACGTATGAGAGTAGTTGGCATTATCGATATAAAGAGAATAGAGAAATATATATAGGAGGGATAGCGCCTGAGTTGAATGAAGGGGACATTATTGTTGTTTTTTCACAATATGGAGAAGTGATTGATATCCATATGCCATGGGATAGCGAGGGGGACCGGCACAAGGGTTTCTGCCTATTAACGTACAAGAACCCTAAGAGTTGTGTGTTAGCTGTAGATAACTTGAATGGGATAGTATTGAACGAGAAGATGTTAATAGTTGATCATTCAGAAGGGGAGGTGCAGAAACACATCGATGAGAAGTATGGGAAATACAATGGGCGAAGACCACCAATGTAATTCAAATGTTTGGAGTGAACAATAAATTACTTTTGAAAGACTAATTGTAAGAGGGATGCCCATTTAACGAGACTAGAGTATGTCGGGAAAGTGGAATACGTCTCTAAAATACTATTTAAAGTGATTTGCGTCACTTTCAGAGATACCGTCGACTTCTCCGCATTGAAAGTGATGAACCCTTTGCGTTGTAAAGTAATTAGAGACTTGACGTGATAATCAGAAACCGTTAAGAATGACTCTTTAATGTTCTGAAGTGCTTCAATCCCATTCACATTTTGATATAAGAAACTACAGAGCTCGCCTATCCCCATCACCTCGTTCAATTCAATCTGTGAAAGGCGGAAGATCCCCATCAGCATGACAAAGTCAAAAGGGGTGAGACTTGATCCTCCACTTTGAAAGAACATTTGAAGCGAATCAAGTACTCGAAACTCACTCTTCTTCTCAAAGTATGGGCGATTTAAGAGTAAAACCTTCTTTGAAAATTGACGAAGGGCATTCACACTACAATTCATTTGGAAAAGGTCCTCTAACGTCGTATTATACTTCTCTTGAAGCATCCGGTTCCATTCCGTTTTCGTCGGAAAGCTTGTCATTTGATAAAAGAGCCGGTTGTATTCTATATACGTCGTAGGACCATGAAGACCTATCAAACTTTTCCCAAACGAAATGCGCGAATTGACTTTCTTATCAATAAAATTATCCTATTCATTATTATATTTTTTACTATATTTTCTACTTTGGTTTATATACTATATTATTTTAATATTTATACTATATATTATACTATTTACTATATGCTCTGATATTTATAATATATAAACTATAAAATGGAATCTATCTGATGGACGATAGTATTGCTATTATTATACTAGTTAGTAATAGTAAATTGACAAACGGTAAGAGATAGAAAAATAATAGCGATGTGATTGTTATTAAATGCCGTTAAAAACGAATCGGTGACTTCATAAAACAAATTCAAAAACTTCTTGAGGAAGACGTCTGCGTGTGTGATGATGATGACGAATCTGAAACCGGAGATGTTCTTTGCCCAATTGAAAAAGACTTTGAAGCTTTGAAATTTGCGGAGAGGAGTTTTGAAGCCACAGCTCTTGAAAATGGTTGATATTTTGAGTGTCAGTGTTTTAAAGAAATCTTGAGGAGAAAATAGAGTGAGAGCATTAATTGAGATGTATGAGATTTTGTTTGTCGTTTTTTGATAAATTGGGAGTGGTGGGAACGTCTCAATTGTGGATTGAAAACTGTGACTGGGATTGAGTGCGAAAAGTCGTGAGAAATTTCCACTTTGAGAACTTTGTGTGGGTAAAATCTGAGAGGAAGAAAGTTGCGAAGGAAACACTACAGTTTCTTCAGGGTTTTCCTCTTCAAAATCACAAAACTCAAGTTCAATGGAATCTTCAAGAGAAGAATGAATCTCGGGACTCACTGGACGGCTTCGGTCGTTTTGTTGTGAACAAGAGAGAACGTCCATGATCTGTGACAACTCATTTTCTTCGTCCCCAATCACAAAGGAAATCGAGCCAATCTCCTCCTTGTCTAATTTTCGGATTTTTTGTTGAAGTTGACTCAAACATTTCACATTCAAAAAGATTGCCGTGTTCAACTCATTCACTCGCTCAAACACAATCTCCATCACTTTTTAAAGTTTTTTCAATTATAAAATTATTGCTTTAATAAATGTTATATATAACATTTGAATGGATAAAGGTTATTAAAATGTTATATATTTTTGATTTCTGTAAATTATGACTATAATTAAAATGCTATTAAAATAGAATTTGTTTTTTGATTCGCCTTTAAATTTAAACAAAATAAAGAAAAACAAAAAGCCATTTGAAATGAATTCCCGAAACTTCAAAGCCACCAAGTCAGTTTGTATTTCAGATAATGGTTGTTAAATATAGTTCAATATATTATAATTTATGGTAAAAAAAACCACAGATTCTTTTATGTATTTTGGAAGTATTACATAACATTTTTTATACAACAAACAACGATGACGTGAAAGCTTTTTTATAGTAAATATATAATAACAAAAGCTATAAAAGTTAATAAAAAAAGAGAAACTACAAAAATTTGGCAATCACGAAATGCAAGAGAAATGGAAGCGCGGACTTAATAAGAGAGCGTACAACGTTCTCTCTGTACCTCAAGCGCTGATGCCCCAAATGTTCGAGTACATCAACACCATCGAGCCGTCGTTGGAGTACGTCGACACGACATCGGAAAAAATAACAACTCTGGACGGGTTAGCCGTCTTTACTAATCTTACTGGTCTTTCTGCGGAGTTCAACAACTTGAAGTCACTCAACGCACTCCCTACGTCTTTACAAATGCTGTCACTCCACCACAACGATTTGACTTCTTTAGATATTATTTCAACACTCACAAATTTGACGTTTTTAAACGTCGCGTGTAATAAATTGAGCTCATTAAACTATCCACTCAGTGTTAAGGTACTGAATTGCTCAGACAACCCACTGCAAAAGTTAGAAGGAATGAGTTGTGTAGAGAGCCTCTCTATTAGCCGGACGCTTGTAACCGAATTGAAGATAGAAAATGCAAAACTAACAGCGCTCGATTGCTCTCAGTGCACGTTTTCGTCGCTTGAAATTAAATGCGACAACCTCACTACTCTTGTTGCAAACGGCGTCGAATTTTTCGTTGACAAAACGACACGCAAGAGCGTCAACTTCGCACTACAAAAAGTCGGCACCGAACACCTTTGCCCACAGAAATTGGCGTTTGACTTTCCTCTTGTCCTCCACACGTCACAGCTAGTGTCTCTCAAAATGAGTTTGTGCCGTAAAGAAGTCATCGAGAAGTTTTTGTCTCAAATCCACTCGTTACAACACATCGAGCTTGAGTTCTGCAATTTGTACATGTGCCCTGACGATCTTTTCAAGTACAAGGAATTACGAACGATCGATTTGAAAAACAACCCCCTCTCGGTCATCCCAATCCAGCTCACGACACTGACGAATATGGTCACTCTCAACTTCTCGAACTGCCCAATCATCGATCACCCATCTTTCAAGCCGCTCGTCAACTTAAAGAGTCTTGGGTTGAGTTTTGAGTCCGGCAGGGTGAAGACGGGCTTTGAAGAGAAGAGGCCTCGGAACTGCAAAATTGAGATCTCGTTGTTTGGGTGTTGCGACAAGATCATCGACGGACTCTTTCTTGGGAATTACCCAAATGCTCTCAACAAGACCTTTTTGAAGGAGTGCGGCATCACCCACATTCTCTCCGTGGCGCCTTATCAACCGATGTACCCCGGCGTCTTCACTTACAAAGTAGTTAACGTCATGGACAACACAACAGAGAACATCGCCGCGGTGTTTGACGAATGTTTCGACTTCATTGAGAAGGGGATGGAAGCGGGTGGTGTACTGGTCCATTGTTTTGCTGGGGTCTCTAGAAGCGCGACAATCGTTATCGCCTTCTTGATGAAGAAGAACAGATGGTCCCTTAAGAAGGCTACAAACTTCGTCCGCAACTGCAGACCAATCATTGCTCCAAATCCGGCTTTCCAACAACAACTGGAAGTCTTCGGAAAATCTATCCCTTCATTCTCCTGTATTCTCGTGTGATTCGACACAGAGTAAATGACAACTTTGACGTTTTTCTCAATTAATGTGTATTATGTGTGTTTGTTTTATTGTACTATAAAGTTATTATAATCTTTATTATTTATTTAATACGGAATAATTAATAAATATTAATTATATACTGCTTTGAATCATGGTAAAGTTTTAAATTGTTTAATAACGATTTTGTACTAAATTTTTATTATTAAACAACTTATTTTATTTAATAATCATTATTAGTATTTTTATTAAAACAATAATTCAATTTATTATATAAATTAGTAAATGGTTTTTAATGAAAAACTTTATTATTTTATATAATATTATTATATAAAAAAACAATTATTTAATTCTAGTTTAAAAAAAAACAAATTAAAAACTAAAAATAACTAGTTATATGTTCTATTCAAAACAATAATTATAAAATTAATAATGTATAGTTTTTTTTATTATATAGATATATAGTTAATATTATATTATTACTAATATAATATAATAATTATTATATTGATACTATAGTAAAAATTATAGTAGATAACAAACAAAAGAAATAGATACAGATATTACAAGTTTATAGTATAGAACTTAGAAAACCAAAGATGAAATCGACCCAACTCATTGCTGTAGATGCACTCTTTCATTTGTGTCTAGTTCCTTCACTTCTTTCGATATTTGGGAGTCCAACGAGTGGCGAACGCTATGTGAAAATACCGACGTATGGACCTCTTATAACGTACGTTTTGTTTGGACTGACGAATATAGTCGTTCACCCATTTCTCGTGTTTTTGGCGTTTGAAAAGACCAAACCGAAGAAGTACTCGATCTTTGAGTACATTATTTCTACTCTCTTATCGGCCTTAATCACGTTTGTTGCAATTTTCTTATTAAGAAGTCAAATGACACATTCAATACTTCATCTGCTCTTGTGTTCCTTGGGGATCGGAGCTTATGCAGCCCCTTTGGTTTTGGTCGCTATCAAAAACTCAATAGACCAAAAGGACGAAAAACACTTCTTGGTATTCCCAGCTCTCTTCACTCTCGTCGTGTTTTTCTTAAGCGCTTTACCTGGATCCTTGGACCATTATAGCCCTCTCAAATTCTTCCCAACACCACTCTTCTACGCGTTCGTACCTGCTACTTTCTTAAGTGACATCTACACCTACATATACTACCTTTACGTCGAAACAACTCGCTCAAATAACTTGGATAAATAACTCTTCCGTTATTTCAGTCAATTGAATTTTATTAAAACTCATTCAAATTTCATTCTAATATAATTGATTATAATTTATATATTTTACTTATATAATTTATATTAATATACTATTATATATATTATAAAATACTAAAAAAACAATATTTAACTATAACATTTACTATAAATTACTATAAATCAATAGAATTTAGAAAAATTTCTTATATTTTATACTATAATATATACTATAATATATTATAATATATACTATAACATATACTATAATATATTTTATTCACACTCCTTTTAAATTCATTACTAAAACTTATTAATAAATTAAATTAAAATATCTACTAATCGTGTTCTTTATAAAAATGTCGTTAACTTTCAAACTGATTTGTCTTGTCTTGAGTCTCCATATCCTTTTGAAGCACTTTTTCATCAGTCTTACACTTCAAGTCTTCCTCATCGTCACTTTCTTCATAACCGTCGATGTCCATTCCTCCCAAATTAACTAAACACTTGAGTAACACGCGGACATATGAATGAGGGATGTGGTCTATTGTTAAAGTAGTTCTTGGGATGATTCTTCCGTAACACTCATTTGGCACTTCAAACCACTTTGGCTTTTTGTCATCAACATGATATGCCCCACGGAAGTCCCAACCTTCCAAATCGAAGTCACCGATTTTAGTGAGGGGGATGGCGACATTTGTAATCATCTGTACGACTCTTCCTGCTGGGAGACACGGGGGATGAGGTGTTTCAATTTGTGCGATCAAGACCTTTAGAACATCTTTGTATTGATCGATTTTGCGATACGCTATTGTAGTTGGCAGTTCCGTTTGTTTAATCGACCCAAATAAAATGTCTTTCGAACTTGTCCCAACAACTCGCTTAACTATTTTAATCATCTCTTTGTAATGCTCAAAACTCCCCAACGACAGTCTTGGGACTATATCATTATTATTCACAAAGGACACAACCATGTTCTTCAGTTGTTTGCATGTCGCAATCTCTCGAGTAAAAGCAGCAGCAGGTGCCAGTGCAATGCACTTCAAATCCCAATCGGGGTGTTTCTCTAAAAATAATGCAGACGTGACTACAGCAACACCACCACCCAAAGAATGTCCTACTATTAAGATTTTATAATTCGGATAGCGCTGGTGAAGATGACTGATTTTAGACTCGATCTGCGTCACCTTTCGAAGGGAGGACTCGTAAATACCAGAGTGGCAATACCCTTCAACTCCAAAGACTGTGACAGGTTCTATCTAGTTATAAATATTAATAAGACAATTATAATTGTTATTTCATATTATATTATAATATTATAATACTATATTAAAATAAAAGTAATATAATTTTTATCTCATATGTACTATATTATAATGGTTATTTAACTATAATAATAATAATAATAATAATAATATAATATTATAATAATAAATTGAGTGAAAGACAAACAGTGGCGACTAAATCGGTAAGAAGGTCTTGTAATGATAAAGTGCCGCGGAAGACTAACACAATGCAATTCATTTCCCGTTTAAGACACAACAGATGTGACGGGTCGAATGTTGTGCCGGAGACAAACTCGATGACTTCCTCCTTCTCTGTTTTTGTGTAATTTAAAAAGACGTTTAAAGTGAAGTCGGTAGTAGTCAACGGAATGTCTTCTATGTCTTTGGGATTTAATCCAGCAATGCCGTAGACACCGACGACCATGCGAGTCACTTGGTATAAGCGCTCGATGTCTTCGGGACTCAACTCTCTGCGTGTTATATTTTTACTATTAAAGTATAGTTCTGTAATTAATAAGAAACTAGAAATCTATGGATGGACAAACAAAGGTTTTATTGACATAAGAGAAGTGTCTACCCCTTGGTGTTCCATATACACTTCATCGAGGAGTTGAAGGTTGAGCACATAGAGGTACAAAGTCCCGACAGTGATATCAAACGGGTTCATTTCTTTAATATTGTTTTTGACTAAGTCACAAATAGTACTTAAAGCATTGTGTGTCTCCGCAGAGAAAAGCTTCTTCGACGTCGCGTCAATCCCTTGAAACACAAGTCCTTTGAACTTTCCAAGGACTGACGCTTTCTCTCTAACCTCTTCTTCAACTTCATTCGACATATCTTTTTCAGTCTAAAAATTACACTCATCATTGACAATTTGGTCCCACATCCGTTGATTGAGTATTATAATTTATTTAATAGTAAAATATATTATTTGATATCATTATATAGTTAGAAGGAGTAAGATATAGTTAAATATATTAATATTATTAATAATATTAATATAAACATTATATTATAGTATAATATATAGTATAATATATAGTATAATATATTGTTTATATATAGTATATATATAGTATAATTACAAGCATAAAGATTTACATCGTTTAATGTGATAAAAAGAGTTGTAAAATACGTTTTAAATGATGAAAAAGTTATAAGAAACCCTAAATCAAAAACGCATAAAATCAAGGGAGGAAATGGACTTACTCTTTCTTTGGTTGTTTTTTAGAGATCTCGACGCAGTGGACCTCCTTTGGGATAGCCTTTTTGATTTCCTCGGCTTTAGCCTTGTCAGTGCAGACATAGGTGTACAAGTATTGGGACCCTCTCACCTTGAATTTGATATTGTCTCCGTTGGTCTTAATTCTGACGGCACGGATGCTCGAGTTCTTGAAGAGTTTCAAGAGTGCTTTGATGTCTTTGACCTGCTTTGGCTACCTGTGAGTCGATTCCTTATGTGTTACACTAGAACAAACCATACCTCCCTTCCTTTCACAGTTCTGAGGGTTCTTCTTTTTAGGTTTTTACTCTCGTCGTGTTGTATCAAATAACATTTTAAAATAATAGAATGTTTTATATAATAGTTTAAAAATTGTTTTATATAACATTTAAATATTTTAAAAATGTTATATATAACATTTTGTCACACAACAATAAATTACAAATGTTTTTCGGCGTAAGTCTTTGGTGGGAGTGGTGGGGGGATTGCTGGCAAAGGGGGCCGATGAGGTGGGGGATGGACACAAAGGAAATGAGCCTTTCGCGAGTTTTTTGAGTAAGAAAAGAGGATAGAAGAGTCAGAAGAAGAAGTTGATGGGTTAGTAGGAAGGAGAGGTTCTGTCAATTTTTGCATTGAATTAAAAGAAGTCCCAAAACAGAGAACAGAACACTCCGAACCCGACATAGCGCGACGGGGAGCTTGAACAGGACGGGAAGGGAGAGGTGGGAAGAGTTGTTTGTAGACCTTTGATTGAATAGGTGGTACTTGAGCCATCGACACCGTTTTCAAGATTTCGTATGAAAAGTCGAAACCAATTTTGAGTAAAAAATATCAGAAATAGATAAAGCGAGCAAATATTTTAAAGAAAAAGCTTGTCAATTAGAAGAAAAAAAGTGATAAAAATACCTAAGATATTAAAAAAAGGAGAGATGAAAAGAATCCCACGACGAATAACATTTTTGAGAGTCAAGAAAACCCTAATTGGAATTTGAATTCAAAAGGATGAAGTGCCACTTGACGCGCTACGGAAACATTCAGCCGTCGACGATAGAGTCTCTGACGTACTGCCCGACTGGGAAATATTTAGCGTGTACACGAGAGGAGGGAGTAGTTGAGATTTACTCTACAACACGTTATACCTTACTTCAGCGTTATCCCTTGTCACCTATAAAAGGTTCCTGCAAGAGTAGTTGTTGGGATGGGGAGATCTTATATGTCGGTGGTTCTGCGAAGAAGGTATGGGGTATTAAAGTCTCCGAAGGGCGTATAGTGACCACATTGAATATCAGTGCCAAAGTGACGTGTTTGTCCTTCAACGGCTATTTGTTTGTTGGGACTGAGAAATCTGCTGTTGAATTTTACTCGAAGTCTGAACACGATTCGACTTCCTTATGGTCGGAAGGGCTATTAAATCACTCGAAAGGGCGAACGACGTGTATCGATGTGTTAGGTGATTCCGTCTTTGTAGGGACCTCTGAAGGGTTAGTCTTTGGATGGGTAAAAAAAGGGAAAAGCTTTGAATTAGTATTTACAGTATATTCCACTGATCCGATACGTGAAGCCAAGTACAACTTATCCCGTCACGAACTCAATTTTAGTCTTCCCGAACAAGAAGATATCAAGAAAGAGCAGTGGGATTATGTAGAAGTACCTCAGCGGTATACACCTGTTTGTGCTTTGAAATTGATAGATGCGATGACTGTAGCAGTTGGATCTTCACATGGGAAGATTCAGATATGGGACATAATGTCTATGACTATAATAGCTGAGTTTAAAGAGCATCAAGCTGATGTCTTATGTTTTGCTTTAAGTGGGACTACATTATATGCTTCTGGTGTTGATCATAAGATCGTAGAGTTCAAAGAGTGTGATGGGCGATGGAAGAGTCGGAAGAGAGTGAGATATCATACACATACTGTTAAATCTTTAGCTGTGAATCAACATCATTTAGTATCTGGTGGGGTTGATACTACTTTCTTTGTCTTAGATAACAAGAACATCGACTCGATCATTTTAAGACGTTTCCCTTTCGGAAGAACAAATTCTGCAGTTCATATTTGTCCAGTTGCCCGCATTGTAGTGATGCTCGAGAAGCCAAATGTGATTTCCTTTTATACTCTCCAACCTTCAGAACCCTTTTCAGATCATTCTTCCGAGATCAAAAGTGCAGACTATGATTTGCTCTATCAAATCGTCCTCGCTAAAGACTGCCAAGTCAACTGCTTCACCGTCAACACTACTTGCTCACAATTATT